TGGGCTATCAGGGGATATATTTTTTTTGTGCCTGTAAATTGTGTTCTTTTTTGCCTGGAGATAATTGGGTTAATACAGTATTTGACTTAATTATCTCCCAGGCAGAGGGGAGGGATTGTATGATATGTATGGGAGTGTCATGCATTGTAACACTGTTGTCATTGGTCTGTGACTTTGTAATTCAGTATTCCATCAGGTACAGGTGGGAGTACCCCTTGCATGGGTATTGTCATAAAAGGCCAAGTGTGGTTTCATTAAAATCAGTTCACTTCACCCTCAACAGCCTCGTCTCATGATTGTAGGGAACCGCTAATCTTGCTATAACCATTAGCTCTTATAAGAGCTGTACAGCTATATTGGATTCATGGTCTGCTTGGAAATCGACTTGGGAATACTGCAGCGCTACCCACACTAGGGGAAAAGGACATCTCTGGTGGTGAACACCAAAAAAATATATTGGCAAAATCTATGCAAATGATTGCTACAAAAATCTTGCAGAGAAATTGTGATTTGATGGCTCAAGAAAAGGTGCTGTAGCCAGTGGCGTACATACCTGGGTTGCAGGGGTCGCAGCTGCGACCGGGCCCAGCCCATCAAGGGGCCTGGCCGCCCTGCGACCCGATATGTATGCCAGTGTGGCCAGCCTCTTCTCCTGGAGGGCCTTGCTGTCACCGGGCGGCCGGTCCAGTGGGCATGCGAGGGAGCACTCTCCCCTGTGTGCTCCCTCTTCAGCTCCCTCGCGCACCGCACTGATACCGGAGCCAGAAGATGACGTCATCTTCCGGTTCTGGCATCAGTACACGGCACATAAGGGAGCTGAAGAAGAAGCACTCAGGGGAGAGTGCTCCCTCGTATGCCCACCAGCCTGCCCGCCTTGTGACCGGCCGCCCAGGAGCCCAGCAGCACCACTAGACCCCAGGGAATCCCCTCAGCACTCTAAAGGTGTTTGAGTGTGTGTTAGTGTGTGTGTTAGAGTGTGTGTCTGCTAGTGAGTGTCAGTGAGTGTGTCTGTTATTGAGTGTGTGTCTACTAGTGAGTGTCAGTGAGTGTGTTACTGTGTGTGTCTGTTACTGAGTGTGTTTGTGTGTCTGTTAGTGAGTGTGTGTTTGTCAGAGATAGTGTATGTTTTGTAAGTCAGTGTGTATGTATGTCTGTCGCTGAGTGTGTCTCTGTCAGTAAATGTGTGTGTCTGTTAGCTAGTGTGTATGCGTCTGTTCATGACAGTGTATGTGTGTGTCTTCAGCACTTACCTTTCTCCAGCACTGGGCTCCCTTGGCGCTGGGGATCCCTCCGCCTCTCAGCTCCGAATGCGCATGCTTGGCAAGAGCCGCATGCACATTCAAAGCTCCCATAGGAAAGCATTACTCAATGCTTACCTATGGACGTTCAGTGTCTTCTCACTGTGATTTTCACAGTGAGAATCGCGGAAGCTCCTCTAGCGGCTGTCAATGAGACATCCACTAGAGGCTGAATTAACCCTCAGTGAAACTGCTATGTTTTCAACTGCAGGGTTAAAACTAGAGGGACCTGGCACCCAGACCACTTCATTGAGCTGATGTGATCTGGGTGTCTGTAGTGGTCCTTTAAATGTGTGTGCATCTGCATGCATTGGTGTACATACAGGGGTCGCAGCCCCGCAACCCCTGTGACCACTGCGACCAGGTCCCCGCCGCCATATGTTGCAGCCCTGGCCCGTGCAGAGTAACTCTGCGCGCGGGGTTGGGGGGCACGCATCAATTTTCGCACCAGGCTCCCATGGGTCATGTGTACGCCACTGGCTGTAGCAGCTAAAGAAAGGTAATTTAATCACAGCTCCACGGCCAGATGTTATTCACCCGCGTGTAATTAAGGAGCTAAGTGTGGAAATAACTGGAGTTAAATTGAACAGGAGCATTGGGGAAAGGCAGATATTCAAAAATGTTCAAAATCTTGGATTGGAAATTATAGACCTGTGAACTTAACTTCTGTGGCTTGGGAAAGTATTTGAAGGGTCATAAAGGGATAATATTCAGAAATGTATTGGGAAGAACAATGTCATTAGCAATTACGTCAAACTAAGTTAATGCATTCTACAAAGGAGTAAGTAGATGTATAGATCAACGTGTTGCAATAGATAAGTTCTACTTGAATTTTTGCAAGGCATTTGATACAGCGCCTCACAATATGTTAGTGCTCAAACTGTTCAAAAGAAATTGGTCTTGATGAAAATTAGTGTTCTTGGGTAAAACCTTGCCTTAAAGATAGAGTACACAATTGATTTAAATGTCAGCAATCGTGATACCCCGACTGCTAAATTTATTGGAACTTATGTTTGGAGGTGTCCAGGCACTGCTGGGCACCCCTCCGAGGCTTCCTGAAGTTTGCTGTGGCAGTGTACCGACCCGTTTGATCTACGGCCTAGCATGGGTCCGGTTGTGGCCGACCTCCTCAGCTGGACTCTGCAGGTTGCACTAGGACCGAGACCTGTCCCCTCCCCCGCTTTGGACCGGTGGGGATTATCCTGGTCCCCGCCACTACGGCTCTGGGTACCTACCACAGTGCCTGGGCAGTTTTGCATCATGAGGCAGAGTCTCCTGGCACGCTTGGTGATTCCTGTGAAAGCGGCTCCCTCGTGGTCCTCTCAAAATGGCGGACTGTGGCTGGGACATCAGCCAGAATAGGAGAAGCATTCAAATCCATCTGCAAAGCTGCATGGATGCTAGGGGCCTGATTTGAGTTGGTTACTGTTTGGCTATCTACTGTCCTTCATAGGCTCTCCTCTCCTATGCTGTTTCGGCTAACAAGCTGTTTGTGCTCAGATGCTGAGCATCTTGGTGGTTCTATTTTTCATATGTTGCACATGTGCAGTCAGTGAGATTATTCTATAAATCTCATGAATCATTTTTTCCTGACCTGACTCACATTAAGTTCACTTGTCCTATTAATATAATATGTGCAGGATTATATGACATTTTATGCTACCATCATAAGCTTTCTTGTTACATAGTTACATAGCTGAAAAGAGACTTGCGTCCATCAAGTTCAGCCTTCATCACATTTGCTTTTTTGCTGTTGATCCAAAAGAAGGCCAAAAAAACAGTTTGAGGCACTTCCAGTTTTTGCCACAAACTAGGGAAAAAAATCCTTCTTGACCCTAGAATCAAGAAGCTATTACCCTACATTGAAATATTATATCCTTGAATATTCTGTTTTTTCAAGTGTGCATCTAGTTGCTGTTTGAACATCTGTATGGACTCTGATAAAACCACTTCTTGAAGCAGAGAATTCCATATCCTTATTGTTCTTACAGTAAAAAAAACCTTTCTTTGCCTTAGACGAAATCTTCTTTCTTCCAGTCTAAACGCATGACCTCGTGTCCTATGTAAAGTCCTGTTTGTGAATAGATTTCCACACAATGGTTTGTATTGGCCCTGAATATATTTGTATAATGTTATCATATCCCCTCTCAAGCGATGTTTTTCTAAACTAAAGAGGTTTAAATTTGTTAACCTTTCTTCACAGCTGATGTTCCATTCCTTTTATTCATTTTGTAGCCCCCCCACTGCACTTCTTCTAGTGACTTAATATCCTTCTTTAGAACAGGTGCCCAAAATTGCACAGCATATTCAATATGAGATCTTACCAGTGATTTATAAA